ATGTGTTTGATGTAATCAAGATAAATTCTTTCTGCATGACTGAATTCGAATAAGCACTCCTATTCATTGTATTTTCAGGAAATATATATGATCAGCTTTGATCTGTAATGTTTGAGTACTATCTGTAATGCTTGATGAATTTGATATCCATAGATATTCCATAATTCAGATAGCTCAATCTTGAATGTTTTCATGTTCTTTGAAACATATGACATGTTCTGAGTTTACATAAAACTGTGAGATGGCTTGTCGGTGTTTTCGGAAGGCAGTTGATTTTTTTGCAGATAAAATTTGGCCAAAAAAGTTCAGCTCGTTGCTTTCCTGCTGAAATCTTTTTCTTTTCTTCTTCATAGAGTTTCTGGTGACTTGTAGCATAATTTCTGAATGCAACTAATCTTCCTTTTGAATGGGCTCCTTCTGTTATCCAAAACATTGACTGATATCTACCATAATGATCTGTTTTTATTGAACAAATCCCACCTGATCCTCAGAGCTAGTCAAGTCATCTGATTTCTGGACTTTGTCATTGGAGTTGATCAGTTGTAATGAGGCCTAGAAACTCTTAAAAGATTATGTAGCATTTTAGCAAACAGTTCTTTATAGCTCAAGAAATCCTTTAGGCTTAGTTGAGCCTTTTGATTTAGAGTTTGCTAATGCTTTCTTTTCATCACCATTCTTCATCTGAAGAATCCTCATTCTTCCATTGTGTTTGTATCTCCTTGAAGCTTTGTAGAACATTCCCGTTGTGTTTGATGATTGAGTCCCTTTGACTTGTTACTCAAAAATGGACATTCTTAGGACACTGTTATTAGCAGAAAGTAGCTAGTTAACATGGTGCTCCTAAATTAGGACACTACTAGTTTAGTAGGTAGCTCCTATTTTCACTGGGACGTTGCATGGGAGCAGGGTGCTCCTAATAAAAATAAGACTCTACATAACAGTAGGATGCTCCTTTTTAACCAGAGTCCATTTCTTGAGTTTTTGTTGAGGTAAAATGTTCCCCCTCAAACTTTGATAACCTTCTCATAAAGCAAGATGATTGTAGTAAAGTTTGCCTTGAACTTTAGTGTAGTTCCCCCTAACTTAGATAACCTTCAATTCATACCAAATGATGATACCAAATGATTTTTAATTTAATGAGGAGAAATACCTTTAAGTTTTCTCGCATAAATATTCGTTCTTCAAGGTTGTTCAATATTCAAGATCTTGCCTTGATAAATAGAATTGCTAGGATCCTTTGTTTGCTTGAAATATCTCATTGGTGTAGACATCATCAAAATCTGCCTTCAATGTGATATGATCCTAACCATCTTTGTGTGATGTTTGTTGATGCTGGTTCAATCTCCTTTTGAAATAAGACATTCTGATTGGGATTGAACATCATCTGATATATCCACTTATACTTGAGGGCTGGAGAAGAAGGTCTTTTCAGTTGATAATTTGCTCTTGATGATTTCAGAGAGCTGAAGAATCTTTACCAGCAGTTAGTAGCAGGCAGCTGGGAGCTTGCTAACTTTCTGTTTGAGAATCCTTTCTTTCCAGTGAAAACAATTTTGATGACATCTTTGAGAGCTAGATGTCTTCTTTTTTCATGTACTAGCGTGTTCTCAATAGATACTTCTTAAATCATCAACATAAGTTGTATTAATGATTTAAAAAGTCTACTTTGTTGTTCTCTAGTCTTGACATCTTCTTTTCACTCTATGTTCCCATCATTTTTGTCTTTGGTTTTTCCTTTCCTTTCGGAGCAGTAGTACCACATGTGATACCATGAAAACCCAACAGTCATCTTTTGATATTCATAAGTACCAAATGATAAAATCTGGAGTAGATTGATACCAATTGATGATTAATGAACTCATTAGATTCTTGTTGTGTTTCTTCCTTTATATCATTGAATCTGTTCTGAACCTTTTAATCCCAGTATTGAATGAGCAGAATGACCACAGGGTACGGGTTGGTCATATACCTGGTTTGTCCAGGTATGGTTTTTCTGTGGAGAATATGGACAGTTGCAAGTATAATTTCCTGCTTTGTGTAGTAGTTGACTTCTCAAAAAAATGTTGTCAATTGGATCTTTTGGGATATAAGTTAGGAAGGTTCTTTTGCATGAGAGTAAGGATAAGGTGGATTATGTAGTGATGTTGGAACACATATATAGTTGGTTACTTGTTAATGGGTCCCAAGTGAGGTAAAAGTCTATAGGGAGGGGGTGAATAGACTTAAATCTTTTCATTTTTCAACCCTTTTTCCTCTAACAGAATGAGTTCCAATATCTTTTGGGAGATATTGAAACATGCAGTGGAAGTCTTGACCTCAAGAGTGTGACACTTTATTGAAACAAATGTTATGACCCTTTTAGTTGTGAGGAGATGGATGAAACGTGTTACAGATGTGTTTGCCAAAAACAGATGACTCAATGAGCAGACTGCCGAAATCTAAAGGGTTGGCTGCCAGTCACTTTGGAGCTGACACCAAACCTTTAGGAGCAGGCTGCCAAAATTAAGGTTCTGTTTTAATTAGTTAAAATATAGCAATGATTTATATTCTAGCACATTGATAGGCTTTAGAACTAGTCTTAACACATAAGTATGAAGGATTTAGACCTATAGAAATAAATCACTTTGATCAGATAACTAGGAGTTGACTCACAGTGAACTGGATATGTTCATTGGACAATTTTAGCGAGCAAGTTGTTTTACTGTAAAGTTGTGAAAGTGAGTGAGAACTAAAGTGTGTGTTGGGAGCAAAATATAAAAGGTGACACAAGATATATCCTTGTTCAGAGGTGGTGTAATCCTCGTACATACAGTCCTAACCTATTTCAGATGGATTTCCACTAAATGAATATCTCATTACATTTAGTGCCCAATCTACCCTTGGCCCAGGCATAGAGTGTGAGGTTTTTCACAAAGAATTTGAACACAATTCCAAGATACTCAGTCCTCCCAAGGTTTTTCACTAATGGCATTGACTTACCAAGAGCTACTCATGTCCTCCAGAATGTCTAACACTAGTCTAGATTACATGGGTGTATATTTAAACTATCAACTAATCTAAGCTCTATAGGTTTGTATGAATTATAGCTAATCTAAGAGCATTAGATGAGTGGGGTGGTAGCCGAAAATGGTGAAGAAGAATCAACTGGTTGGATGTGAGCATGGATAGTTTGTTTCTCTTCTATTCCACTTGGCTCCTCTCGTTTTACAACACTTGGTCTTCCCACACTCCTTTTGTATTTATGGACTTGATCATTGAATCTCCACCGTTGGATGAGGAAATCAATCTTGACCGTAGCTTAATGTACTTGCTTTGTTCCACTTGACTAAGGTAGCATGGTTAGTCTTTGTCTTGAAGTGACACGGATCAAAAATCTTCACTCAACTTGTTTCCTCATTTCAATGAAAAGGTAAAGATGAATTATCTTTATTTTCTTTACGCGTAGAAACTTAGTATTTAAGCTGAGTGATGTTTCATTGCTTCCTTACAAATAACAAATACTTGCTTTAAGTAAGATAAATTTATAAGAAATTTATAATGTGATAAAAATCTCTTATAAATTTTCTTTTCATCAATTTGTTATTTTCACTGCAAGTTGGTCTTTTGTTTAATTGTTTTTGTTATAAGAGAAGAGTGAGTGTATTTCGGATGCCTTAACTGAAAAACAGGTTTTCAGTCGGCTGTCAAAGTTTCAACTGGCTGCCGAAATCTTGGGTTTTCAGATGACTTCCTTTGCAATGAATATCAGTTAACTCTTTTTCGTACTTTTTGTTTGTTATGCTTTTCTTTTTGTTTATGGTGTGTTTCTTCTCTTTTCGGTACTCTTTGCTTTTCTTGAGTACTTTATCACTAATATTAGAGCACATTACAATAAACAAAGTAGAACATAAACCAGAGAATCTAATCTAATACAGAGATAATAAAAAGGGTGGCATCATCAAAACTTTTACATTTTAGTCAACAAAATCTAGGGGCCCTAACACCGGTCTATTTATGGATATGTGTGAATAATGGATAGACCAGTAAGTGTTTTATTTTCTGGAGGTTAGGGATAGTGTAAGTAAAGCCAGATTCAATGTCATTCCAGTTTTATGATCTTCATTAGCAATGAGTTAAATGGGATTTCTCAGTTTTATTTCTTATAAGACTGATCTTAATCAACAGTTTATCCTCTTAGCAAAGTTACTATTTGGATTTCCTGAAGTTTAAGATCTTTCAGTTTGTGAAAGGAATAAACTTATCTGAATGTTCTTTTGAGTGAAGCACAGATGGGATAAATTTTTGAACACTTAAGACAAACTGAGTTACTGGAGATGTGTTTGAATATACCTCTTCATGAGCATCTTTCTTTGATGAAATTGGCCAGATGAATGATGTCATGAGAGTAGGTTTGACTTCATCTTCTTTTTGCATAGCAATCCCTTGAATGAGAACATCATTCTCATGTTGGCTTTGTGGATCTAGAGTTTGAATAACAGCTTATTGTTTCCTTGTTTCTTTTTCTTTAGAATAAGTTTCCCTCATAAGGTTTTCTATCTCATCTGACTATAAGTGTTTAGGAAAATTGGTGGTTGATCTTTTGTTCAAAATAAGCCGGTTAAGAAACTGACTCTATGAACAACCGCTCTGATACCAATTGATGGCCCCAAGTGAGGTACAAGTCTAGAGGGGGGTGAAGACACTTTTAAAATCTTTTCATTTTTCAACCATTTTTCCTTTAACAGCATGAGTTGTCCTTCTCACCTTCTAGATTTGAACACAAAGCCCTCCAGAATGTCTAACACTAGTCTAGTCTACATGGGTGAAAACTAAAGTACCAACTAATCTAAGTTTTATGGGTTTGTATGAATTTGAGCTAGTCTAAGAGAATTAGATGAGTGAAGTGGAAACCGAAGTGGTGAAGGGAAAACAACACTTGTTTGATGGATGTGTTCTTGTGTATCTTGATTCCCTTATATTCCACTTGTTATTCTCCCACTCCTTCTGTATTTATAGACTTGGTGTTGAATCTGGACTGTTGGCTGAGGAGTTCAATCTTGACTATTGTTTGATCTACTTGCTTTGTTCCACCTGATTGAAGGAGAGCATGATTGGTGTTTGTCTTCTTGTGACACAGATCAATATCTTCACTAAACTTGTTTCCTCTTCTGAAGGCAATGATAAAGATTGATATATCTTTATTTCTTTTGCTCGTAGAGTTTTAGTATACAAGTTGAGTGTTTGTTCAATGCTTCCTTAAAATAAAATCACTTCCTTTTAGTAAAATAACTTAATAAGAAATTCTCATAATGTGGTAAACATTTCTTATAAAATTACTTTCTATCTTTTTTTCATTTTGACTGCAAGTTGGTCTTTTGTTTAATTGTTTTTGTGCTAAGAGAAGAGTTAGTCAGTTTCGGTTGCCTTGCCTGGGAAACTGAAGTAGGAGCCAGCTGAAATGTTTTTAGTAGGCTACTCCTTATGTTTTCAGATGGCTAACGAAATGGTTTCCAGTTGACTCTTTTTCGTACCTTTTCTTTTTTATTCTTTTCTTTTTGTTTTTGGTACGTTTGTTCTCTTTTCAGTACTCTTTGTTTTTCTTTAGTACTTTATCACTATTATAGTAGCAAAATACAATAAACAAAGTAGAACAAATACAAGAGAATCTAGTCTAATACAGGGATAATAAAAAGGGGTTTGGCATCATCAATACGGAGTACTATATATGTTAATCATCAAAATCAGGGGACCTAACATTTTGAGAATTTTTTGCAATACATATATGGTGTGATATTATGAGTAATAAAAAGCTATTATAAACTAATTTAAATTACATATATTCCAAATGTAAAACAAGTATTTCAATTTTAAAATCTTATTTTTGATATTTTTTAATTTCAAAATTATGAGTAATAAAAATTTATTATAAATTAATTTAAAGTTCATATATTCCAAATATAAAACAAGTATTGTAATTTTAGAATCTTATTTTAGATATTTTTTTCAATTTTAAAATATATTAATATTAATAATTTTATCTTAAAAGTCAAAATGGTGTAAACACAATTAAGTAAGAACACATATTTAACAAAAACAACTTTTAAAATGAAATTTAAAAATATTAAGAAATTAAAAGATATGTACAACTTTCCATCAGCACGTTAGAGAACTAAAAAATGTTTAAGGTTGTTAAAATGTCATGAGAAACTCTTTTAATAAAAGAAAGTTAATAAGGGTAAATTTGTCTTACATTAGTTATATTTAGTAACATTGAAATTGGCTGAATCAGATAAAACTAATGAAATTATGAAATTCTAACTGGAGTGGCTGCATCGGCTGAATCGTTGAAATATTATATTTAAAATGTACTTTGTTAATAAATTTAAGAAAAAAATACATGAGAAATAACTAAAATGGTGCTCCACAGTAAATTCAACCAAAAAATTACTCCACCTGAATTATTTTGGTAATTTCTCAATTCAGCGCGCAAAATCAAATCTACGTGTTTTGGTAAAAAAAAAAATTGGCCGATAAGCTCAAAATAAGTTGCCGAACGGGTTCATACATTAGGGCTATGTTTGGAATTTCAAGCTATAGGTGGAGGCAAATGCATGTCTGGATCAAGGTTTATTGTTTAAACTAGATGTTATTGTCTCGGTGAATTTTGAAATGTTGTATCTAAACTATATTAGTTGAACAAGGTAAATCTATTTGGTAAAAAGTGCTGACAAATGTCCAGTTAATATGGCCTAACCTAGATCGGGTCATACCAAATCAAATCAGATCAGATTCGATCATAATAGACAAATCACGAGAAAAAAAAATCAGTCCAATTAAAATCATTTTAAATGGAGTTCTCCCTAAATTTATTACCATATTTTAGATTAGAATTCAACAAATCTCTTGAAAGTGTTCATGAGTAAAGTTTTGAGTTAATTAGCTTATTATGGAGTTAATCACAATACAAGCAGAAGTTAGATAGGCATATATAGAAAATTAAATTATCTTATGATGGAGTTAATCAGTCGTATTTTAAAAATATTTATGAGTAAATTTTTGTTTATCACCAAAATTGAGATGATGACACATGATTTGGTACTAAAATATAAAAGGGCATACAAAAATTATACAAATAACCTCAAAAACTAATTCCATAAATATAATCTAATTGAGAAAACAAATCTTAAAAGCATTTCGAAATCATGAATATGAATTTTATTCATGTATGAATTGATGCAATGAGGTCATTTAGCTCTATAAGTCAATGTTTCAAAATAAAGGCAAGTATGTTTAATAGCTCCAAACCACCAAATTTTCAATGAAATTGTGGAGTTAGAATAGAATTGTCTGGCTTGTGGTACTCTTTTTTTCATTTTTAAAGTGCCCCCATACAAGTTTAATAATATCAGTATACTTGAAAACTCAAATTTTCATAAATTATCATATGTATCATGCTATAAGTTCAATAACACTTATTTTACTTAATAAGATCATATTACCCCCAATAATTCAATCAAATGATAAATAAATTGATCGCTATCAATCACGATATGTAGTCTTTTATTGCCAACATTACCTTCATTAAAATAGAAATGTCACAAACTATATATTCTATGTTGTTCTTAAAGAAAGAGATCAAAGGACTAATTTGCAAAAATCTAAAACCTAGATGGAAATTCACGAATAATTTGCGAGATCAAAGGACTAATTTAAAAAAATGACTAAACCCGGCCCATTTTTAATCAAACAAATTGCAAAAAAATGTAAAGTTAGTTTTGGAAAAAACAGTCAGCCACAAATGAAATTTAATGTATAAAAATAGACAATGATGACTTTTTTGTTTAGATAAAGATGGTTGAAAAGATTAATTACATTTGAATGCAATTGAGAGTGATAAAAATGTTCTTTTCATTAATTACATGCTTGTTTTGACAATTAGTTCAAAAATAGAAACTATAAACATGTATGTTTTGATAATTAGTTCAAAAATAAGAAATAATCAATAAATTAGAATATATGCATTATAAGTCAACGTTATAATCAATTATTTTCAGTTGGTAGTCTCTATATATTAGACCATTTGGAGTGGTCATAGAGTCTAAATGTAAAAAATGGACTCCGTCCATCTGAAAATAGTGTTTTGACTCCTATTTCTCTACATTCCAGCACCGTCGATAAAATACACTCTGCACATTTTTTAACATTAAATAAATTATTATAAGTAATGTTTTAGTTTTAATTTTTTCTCTGATTAATTATAAAATAAAAAGACACATTTCGATGTAAAAATAAATAAATTTCATTAATGTTTTTTTTACGTTTTTGGATGATGTGAGTTTAAACACATTGGAAAAAATATTAATTAAAATATTGGAAAAATAAAATAAATTATTTTAATCTTTGGATTTCAATTTCAGCCGTTGGATCTACTAATTTTTTTAAAAAAATACTTCTATAACCCAGCTACCATTGTGAGTGCTCCGTGACATTAGCATGACGTCTAGGTGACATCATTTGCTTCAAATAATTCCAGTGCACACTTGACTAGGCCGCTCCCACTTCCTTAAATTTTTCTTTTCCATTTAATTTTAGGGAGTCAACTCCACCCTTCAAATGTAGAACCCTCCATCCCATTATCCATTTTTACACCCCCACATTGCCAACCACTACAAGGAATTACAAGTCCAAAAAATCCACTTTTACCATTTTGGACTCATAATCCTACACCACTCCAAGTGGTCTTAGGGAGTGTTTGCGATTGCTTGTGCTTTTTAAAAGTGATTTTTTTAAGAGATTATTGGAAAAGTGATTTATAGTAAAAGTAGGTAGTGTTTGGGAATAGAAGTGATTAAGATGAAAAAGTTAAACTGGAAGTGTTTGGTAAAAAAAGTGATTTTTAATGGAATATTTTGTTTAACTACAAAAATGCCCTTGACATATAAAATTTTCAAGCATCTCTCCCTTGCCCAGCGCGCCTCAAAGCCGATCTTGTCTTTCAAAGCAGGCAGTATGAGGCACCATCTCTCCTGCAAGGGTGCAATTGCTTCTTTCAATTGAAAAAATAGAAAGCCGTATAAGGTAGCATATATTCCTCCCTGCAAATCTGCAATTGCTTCCTCTTTTGTTCAAAATTGCTTCTTGCAATTCATTCATCTGTTGAAAGACATCACAACGATCTATCCCAAAAGACATGGAAGCCATATAGGACGGGCTGCCTCAACAGATCTGGAAGTCAAGCTGTGGCGGTGATCCTGTTCACGGCAGCCTCAGAGCGCCTGGGGCCTTGCGCTCTCCTTCCATCCTTCTGGCTTCTTGTTAATTAATAAAACTATATATATACATATAATTAATTATATATAATTATATATGTATATAATTATATATGTACGGAATGAGCAGGTGAGGAGCTAAACGGGAGTTATGGAGTCGGGGATGAAGAAGTACCGAAGGAGATGGGGGTATCTTTGGTCCAAGCTAAATAAATGTTCCATTATAACTATCCTAAAAGTTTGAATTAATTACAAAAAAACCAATAAGCAGTTAAAAGCACCCCAACTCCAACTTCCAGCTTTTGACTTCAAAGTACTTTTTTTAAGTAGAAGCAGGTGATTGCAAACACTATTTTCTGCTTTATTTAAGTTAAAAGCTCACAAGCGATTTTTTTAAGTGTTAGCAAACACTACTTTAGTTGTCCGGGGTGGATATATAGTGAGGCCTTGAGGAATGGATGTCATCATTTCCTTACTTTACGGAAGAGTCCATCATGTTACACAAAGTTCAATTAGTGTACGTACAGAAACGTAGAGGCCGGATCTGAGAATGCATGCCATCGATGCTTGCCCATCATATATAAAGAAAACATGCATACAGCACATTGACGGGACTAATGGACATCTTTCAGCACAATTTAGATCGAGTTTGATTAATTGATCATCCACAAATCCTAATTTAAGTGCTCCACATGCAGTCTCGGTCCCACTTAATTCACTATACTTGCTAGTCCTTTGACTCCTTTCCCGTGCAGCGCATACTCAGATTCCTCGCATATTTTGTAAGACATGTTTAAACCATTCATCGTTTTATCTCATATA